AGGAGGCTCAGGGGGGACCTTCTGGCTCTGCAACCCCCTGACAGGAGGGGGGAGCCGGGGGGGGGTCGGGCTCTGCTCCCAGGGAACAAGGGCCAGGAGGAGAGGGAACGGCCTCCAGCTGTGCCAGGGGAGGCTCAGGTTGGACAGCAGGAGGAATCTCTCCATGAAAAGGGTGGTCAGGCACTGACAGAGCTGCCCAGGGAGGTTTGGAGTCCCCACCCCTGGAGGTGTTCCAAAGGCGTGTGGATGTGGCACCTGGGGACATGTGGTGACCACAGTGCTGGGTTAATGGTCGGTCTTGATGATCTGGGACGGCTTTTCCAGCCTTAATAATTCCATGATTTATGGCCTTATCAGGCACTTCCCTCCACTCCCACCTAGTGGAGGCTTTGCTGACAGAGCACTGCTCCCTCCCTGCTCCTCACTCTGCTCTCCAAGGAGCTCATCCCTGAGCTCCACCAGGCAGGCATTCCCGAGGAGCGCCCGGGGCGCTCTCACCTGTCCAGGATGGGCTTCTCCTGCTCCTCCTCGGGGCTGGCGCTGCCCAGGATGCGTTTCCTGGCCTCGGCGTACTCCGCCTCCCTCTGTGCCAGGGATTTCACCGGGAAGGCCGGGCGGCTGGCCGAGTTGGGCGTGCTGAGGACGCCGTTGGTCGTGGGCCTCTTGAGGATGCGGATCTGGGGGGGAGGCCCCGAGGGAAGGCTGTCGTCCTGGATCACGATCGGCACTTTGGGAGGAGATTTGGACTTTCTACTGTTTGAAACAAAAACACCGGGTTGGGAGTTGGGGGTTTTTTTTCCTGCTCCCAGTGTGAATTCCTGGTGGGCAGATGCCATTCCTGTGATTAATGGCAGCCTGGAGTAATTAAAGAGCTCGTTATATTTGTAACCCTAAACTGGAGCAGCAGATTAGCTGGGAAAGGGATGGAAAATCAGGCCCTGCTGCATTGACATCATCAAACTCCCCCGAAGGGAAGGGAACAAACACTGGGTTAGCATTTGCAGTCAAAGATGTTGGTATAAGCACCTTGATTTCATTCCCTGCAAGGAGTGTCAGGGCTCCACTCACCAGGATACCCAGCCTTCACTCCAGCCCTGCCATTTCACTCCTCACAACCCCTCTCACCATCAGATTATTTTTATAGTCCCTTTTCTGCACAGAATTCC